TAATTATTATTTATTTTATCTTTATTTATTCAAAATTAGAAAATTTTGAAATTGCAGTTAATATATTATGATCGCACCTGTGCAAGTTGATAGATAATGCATTTCTATGTATCAAAAATGAAATGCTTACAAGTTCTCCAGTGCTCTACTAAGAAATGCTCTATATATAGCATCGAATGTAAACACTCCCTGTTAATTGCAGAACAAAGTGAATGTTGGTAAACAACAAAGGGCAAAGRCGAAAATTAAGAGAGGCATTCAAAGATATTCACTTTTAACAYTGACTGCGGCATCTGTTGGCAGCTAGAAGGATCTTGATTGATACAGTGGCAACCAAATCCTTAAAATTTTAGACATGTATTATATAGTATATTTATATACATATGTATATATATGTATATATTTGCACATATACAAATGTGTGTCTGTACATACATATGTGCACAAAAAAATAATAAAGCTTTAATTTAAAAGAAATGTGTAATAACTTCTCATTATTTTTGCATAAATATACCATAAAATAATTATATTGACATTTTATAAACACTTACCGCACTTTATTTCACTTCGTTCGCGTTTGCTGCAATAAATTGATACACTTCCCTACTCTAAACTCTTTTCCCTATTTCTAACACTTTATTTACATTAACATAACATAATTAACATTAACATAACATTTTATGCMCAACCACTGGCAGAGCGCTGCTTGCGCCGACGGTCAGTGTTCAGCTTTTGCACTCACTAATTTTCACTTTCRCTTTTACAACACAAAAAACAACGCCCGATTACTTTTTTTACTTTAAAACGATTAAATAGACGCACTGCAACCTAATTCTCCTAAAAACTGCTTAATTGCAGCTTTAATCCCAAAACTAATTTCACTTTTCACGGAGCCGCTGCCGTTGCAACTTACACGAACGCGGTATAAGGAAACGTATTTCGAGCAAATGGCGGCGGAAATTAATGAAGTGACGTCTGTGAATAATGTAGTAGATCGCCTAAAACTACAGGGTTCACACATTTTTTTTAACTACCGAGATACAGCAGAGATATGTATATTCACATTATATACCAGAATATAAAAAATACTGACTTTTTAATCAGTTTATCTTAAGCAAACTGTTTTTAGCCGAATTTATTATATATTAATGTTCTTTTATCCAATGGCTACAAACATTAGTAGAAATCGTGATCATGTACGTGACCAACAGATGGCGCACTTATTACTCTTCGTAATTATCTAATGCAGGGATAATATTTTATTTGTTTCTTAAGAGCTAAAACATTCAAATTGGATAATATTTCGCTGACAAAAATTACTTTTAATTATCTAACAACAATTTTAAATATATAAACTCTTATTTGGCATCYACATATTTTCCACACTGTGTTCTTTCAAGCATCCGCCGTCGTGCCGATAAGCGCGAAACAACAAAGAACGGTGGTATTCTATATAGTAGAAAACCATCTATTGCCAACAGAAATCTGAAATTACATAAGGAGGGATCTTCTGGCACTGTTAGGTAGTTAACCGGTAATTTAACTGATACTAAAAGCGAAAGGTATGACCGGTCACACATTCCAGGTCATATTAGCACAAAAGCGTWTGGGTTCGTTCTAAAGTAACTCACAAAAACTTTATTAGAAGTATCTGGTAGCGCTCTTGGTGAGTTAACAGTTAATTTTCCGGTAATCTATCTTCATTCAAATGACCAACAGAGGGCGCTATTTTCTAAAGTAGAGTGTCATCTGTTGACAACATTCTGTGTGTTGGAGAATATATTAGTTATCAGAACATTCATAACTCTATCGATCACATCCTCGTACATCAAAACATTAACAAAAATAACCGGTAGCGTGGAGGTTACCTGTACCAGTGAACATATTGTTTTTTTTTTGTTCTCCCCCTGTACCTGTAACACTCACAGCTGATTTTTGGTGATCTTTCTTCAATCAGACTACACCAACAGAGGGAGCCACTYATAGAGCATAGTGTTATCTGTTGRCAACAGTCTGCCTATTAAAGGWTAYCTAGCCATTATACAGGAAAAATCATAAGTGTGATTGCTCATTAAAWATAAATAACAAGCTAAGCGTATGAAAACCAAAAAAAGTTATTTTTTTATCATATACATGTTTTAGAAATACTTTGAAAATGCTACCCTGTGCTAGCTAGTGAAGCAGTTTAATGTCATCAGATGTCACTTCATTTTTAAAAGCTCGAATGTCATTGGCCGTTCTTACGGCGCCATTTTAAATAAAAGTGTCATAGTTTCTCGCTTGCTTCGGTGGAATTTGCTGCAGTTCAGTGAAAAGTGCAATTATTTTGGGTAGTAAAGCTGCAATTTATAGTTTTTTTTTAGTTAAATTAGGTAGAAGTTAGGGTAGTTCGGGATTTTAATCGTTTAACAGTGTAAAGTGTGATCGTACGTTATTAGTTGTGTGTTAAATGTATTTATAGTGTTTTAAGGCTGTAAGAGAAACGCTGGACTGCCGGAATATGTATATAAAATGTGTTTGGATGTGGGTGGGAGCACCAGTATGGGAAGCAGAGTGCACTTTAGAGGTAAGTCCTGTTGAAAGATACTACTACAAATAATAAAAACACGGCCCTGCTCTCACACAATTGTGTGCATCTGTGCATGAATGTGTATGTGAATTGCTATGCATATAACTACATGCGCTTGCAAAAGTTTAATAGTTGCGCAGCCATATTCCTTCTGTTGCTCACCACTCTATATTCTAATCTATGAGGAATCAATAGTTTTTAATTTCTTGAATTTTTTTTTTTTTAACAATCTTTTATATATAATATAATTTGTAATGGTATTTGACACACAGATTTCCTTCTTATTTATCAACCCGAAAAAATGGAGAATCTTCTGTACTGAATTGGAAAATGATTGTAAGTAAAAGTAACCTTTAAAATCAATTAAATTTCTTGTTTTAAAATAGCGTTAGTGCTCATATCCGATGTGTACATCCCTACATTTACTTAAGTATACATATATGTACATCTATATGTGTGTATAAAATTAATAAAAACAGTTCAGTGGGCACTGGAATGCTGTACGATCCTTCTAGCTGCCAATAGATGTCGTCGGTATTCTCAAGAGCGATTATCATCAGTTGCTCCTACYATTTCCGCCGCCATTGTTTATAGTTCCTTTTAGCTAAGCGTTCGCGTTGATAGAAATTGCATTAGCAGAGTACGCAGCATATTCTCTCATAATTGTAGCTAAGAGCCCTTGCACATTTTTAAAGCTGCGCAGTCACAATATTGCTATTACCATCACTGTTGATTAACATTTCCTGTTAGGCTAACGTTTTTAGCAGCGTCCATTAACACTTCTGGCAATGAGATTACTTATTTACAGGAAAAAAAGTGGTGAATATGAAATTAGAAAAAAAAATGTGTTGCGGCTTCGTAATAAAAAAACACAAGGCTATGAATGGTACAAAGAATTCAAAGATGGTCGAGAGTTGAAGACTTGCCTCGTTTTTGACGACTTCTTTAACTGATGAGAGAAGAATCAATTTTTTACTCAAGTTAGAGCTTGCACGGACGGACAGACGGCCAGATTCATAAAAAAAAAGATAAAATACAAGCATAATTTTAGTATTCACAGGCATCTCCTCTCTTAAATATAATAGATCATAAGGCCGTTAAAATCGACATAGGATTTTGAGCCTATCACATATTTATCGTTTCGGCAATGTCTCCTGGTTTGTCGGAGATAAGTCTAACCAGTTTGTGAACAAGCGAAATTGCCACATTTGGAATGAAATGCAACCTGCAGAGACTCAAGAGCTGCCATTTTATCCAGAAGAAAAAATGGTTTGTATTGTATTGGTTTGTGAATGAGTGGAATCATCGGTTATATGAATCTTCAAAAATGACGCCCGTGAGAACATGACCGAGAATGACAACCATTATTGCGCAATGAAGGTTGTAATCTCTGCAACATTTGGCTTCAACAAGACAGCGCCACTTCCCACGTCAATCAATGCGGCGTGCAGATGATTTAACCTTTTGGGCCGGTCGATTGGCCACTACAATAGACTATTCTAAAAATGCTAATAAAACTAAATTCCGTAATAATTTCATTAATTTTATTATATATTAAACGTTAGATATTTTGAGTTTAGATGAGTAGGAGATTTACAAATAACAAATAGCTTCAATACACATATACATACATATACAATACAAATAACAAAAATACATATATGCAAGTAAAATAATACGCAGAGCAAAAATTTAATTAAAACTAACAAATAAAAGTAAATAATTGCGATTTCATTGCTAAAACTAACGGTTAATAAATCAAACAAAACAACTTCACTTTGCTAAAATAATCAACATTACTTAACTACAAATACTACCCTGCTTCAGAAGCATACATATACATATGTACATATAATGGGGCGAAACATGTTATGACACACTGTAAGCAATTTTGTTTTGTGTTGCCCAGAAAGAGCTAATATGCCTTAACCCTCATCATATAACAAATAAAATATTTGGGAAATCGTTAGCTAGTGCGTTTGCTCCTTGCTATAATTATCGATAATTTTTTTTTTTTTTTTTTGTTTTTATTTGCATTTAATTAATATCACTCAAATCAAATACATATATTTTTTCATTCATATATGTACGTATGTAGCTATGTATACATTACTATGTGTATGCATAAATCATGTAGCGTCGTCCTTGACATTACGTTCCCCTGCTATACTCGATCCCTTGCCATTGACTTGATGCGTGTTGGCGTCCTCTTGGCTGGCGACAGTGATTTTCGAATTGTTCAAATCGGTCTCTTCGGGTATCACTTTGGTAGCTTCTTGATCCTGAGCGTGCAAGCAAGCATAAGAAAAGAAAGAAAATCGTAATTACATAACTCATTATATAGTACGTGATTTATAATTAGTAGTGCACATGCGCTCGTACCTATACACATACTAATTTAAATTTTAATTTAATGTAAATCAGCTGTCACTCAAGCAAATACAGTGCACACACTTTTAGTTACTTTCAGTTAATTGCGGTATAAAGTAGGTATATAAATTATATAAATGTATATTTATTTGTTTAGCCGTTGACGCATAGACCAGTTAATTATTATTATTATTATTTTTTTTTTTTTTTTTTGAAAATTATATCTATAACCGCGCCCATGAGACAATTATATCTAAAGAATTAATTATTTTCCCTTTATGTTACGTACTTAGTGTTTTAATATATTAATATTTCATGCAAAATCATATTTTATTTTTATTTTTACCGAAAATTATTTTATATAAGTTTGTACATATATATATTTACAAGTATTTTAGACATTCAAGCGCAGTTACTGATCACTCTGCTCCACAATTCTCATAAACGATCAAATAACGCTATTTTGTTAGCGACCCTCTCGTTTCTTTTCACGAATATAAATCGCCTACAGACTGCTAGGAAGTCAATTAGAAGGTGTTCTGGAGTTTCAGATTTCAAGCCGCTGAACCGATAATTCACGCAAGAAGATAGACGCTTGTTATCTACTTAAGTGCTTCTTGAGCTTAAAATGACCAGTGTAGAAATGGCGAAAAGTGGTCGAAATTTCTCTATTGGAAGGTTGATTTCATATTTAAGCTTAATAAGGTTGTAACCACCCATTAGCAACTTGGCATGGCGCATGCTTTGGAGTCTCTCTTCCTACTCCTTTCTCCTTACGAAGCAGCTTTTTTTTATTGTATGGGGACCAAAAGGGAACTAATAAGCAAAGAATCGAATAAATTATAATTTTCCATGGCGTTGATTTCTCATTCCATAGTAAAAGGAATAGCAAGACGTTATTTTTATTTTTGTATAAATGTGTAAGCATATATGGTATCACTCTATGAGCCCTCATATAAGTATATGAATCCATACGAGATCTTTATTTGAAGCAGAAACTTTCTCATCCTAATATTTTACCAAATTGGTATGATTTCCTAAAAGTCTTTCTATGACCCCCAAAAACCCGTTACTGGTCAAAGAGTATTGCAAGAAAGCTTATAATATAAGTGTCACAATTAGCGATTCTTCATCTCTTCACAATATCAGATTTGTCTAGTAGGCCAAAGAGCTTTAGACCAGTTTTGGTTTTTTGCGAAACCAGATGGAGTTCGATTACTAAGTCCATGAGGAGTACTCGAACTTTAGGATGCCTGCTCTTGACACGAATTTAAACAGACTCTCTGGCCTCAATATCGATACCTTCTCCATTATATTATATCGTGGAGAGCCCAGATGCTTACAGCATAGCTTTGCCAATGTAGGGCAAGTGCACAAGAGATGCTCCATTGTTTTCCTGGTGTCTTGCTCTAGACATTTCATGCAATCTCCTTGATCTAATATCAGACTAGTTTAAGGAATGTGTTGACGAGACTAGTGCCATAACTACTTCTAAGGCATTATCTCTGAGAAAATGAATTTAAATGAAGTCCTAGTATGGAAAACTTTCTTATTTCAGGAAATATCTCTACGAAATTCGGCACGGATTATTGTTCAAGGCTATATTCTCCGAAGATAGTGTTAATATTAGCCTACTATAGCATATAGCAGTCATTCAAACCGATCAATCAAAATCAAGTCCTTGTAAGGAAATTTTTTTTATTTGAGAAAATATAGTTACGAAATTTCCCGAATAATAATGCTTGATACAACGCTAAAATCTTCGAAAAAGTGGTTCAGATCRGACAATATAGAACATGCTTGCCATACAAACTGAAAGATTAAACTCAAGCCATATGAACCAATAATTTTGTCAGGTGTATAAAAACAAAGCCGCGTATGCATATGTAGATTCCATATAACTTCCATATACATGTATGTATATCTAATTGCACATGCCTGTGCTGTGCAGCGCCATAAATAGTTGCAAATCCCCAACGCCTGGCATGCTTTTAGGCGTGCACATATACATAAGCGTTCCCAGCAATAAATAGCAATACTTTACAACTACACGCATACAAACATTTGCTAAATATACAGCTTGTGTGTTTTTATTGCTTTTGCATTGTTTTGTGAGCTTTTGTTTACTACTTTTATAATATAGTTTGTTGTTTTGCACACGGTAGTCGGTAGTTTTTCCCAACAGCTTTATGGCTGTTTATGCGGCTTGTTTTGCATTTCTACATGATCAATCAGGTTGTATTTAAATGATTTTATTGCCGGCGCAAGTGGATTTTACCGTATGAATGTGGTCATTGCAATTTCTATGTTTGTTGTTGTTGTTTAGTTCGCTTATAAATCGCATTTTCACACGTGTGAAAGAATTGCTTTATACTTGCATGTATACAGGAGCGCCCAAACATTTACATATATCGACATTTGTAAGCACTTATATGTTTAAGCGCAGTGTTGTATCTTTAGCAGCGCAGTCGCAACAGCAAACAGCAATATGCGCAATTGAGCGCTGCATTAATGCATGATTGCATACAAAGTGGAAGATACGTGTATCAAGCGCTAATGTATGCAGATAACGGTACACAAGTGAACACGAACACACACACACACACATTGATATATGTGTACGATTTTACATGCGCATGTATATATGTATATGCGTATGAGTATATTTATGAGTAGTTTCTGAGTATGAATTATAAGTAGAGGATGTAAGAAGATGGAAGTGAGTGTGTGTGTATGGGTTAGTGCAGTGTGTAGTAAAAGTGTTTGATTGTCGAGATGGAAATCTCGTTCGCACGCTTGATTGGTTGCATTTCTGTATTTGAAGGATATCTGCTTTTTCCATCTGCAGCACTTTAAGCCACTTGCATGCGAAAATTTTATTTGAGTAGAAGACATATAATTGCATTTGGTTTGCAGCACAAAATGGCAATTAAGTATTGTGTAATTGGGCGACAATAATACGTTTTCCGTATTTACTTTTTAATTATTAGGTGATATTGTATTACTCTCTAGGACAATACACAGTGCCAAATTTCGTGATGATATTTTGTGCAAGAAAAAAGTTTTTCGTACAATAATTTGATTTTGTGCGGCCAATTTGTATGACAGTTATATGATATAGTCGTCCGATTTGAACAATTTTTTCGGAAATTACACCATTGCTTTAGAAAATAATTTTTCCCAAATTTCGTGAAGATATCTGAGCTAATAAAAGAGTTTTCTATACAAGAGCTCGATTTTGTGCGGCCAGYTTTTATGACAGCTATGTGATATAGTAGTCAGATTTTAGCAATATGTACAGCGGATGTAGTACTATCTAGGACAATAATCTTTATCAGACTTGGTTGAGTTGACTATGCTAATAAAAGAGTACTCAATACAAGAACTTGATTTTGAGCGGTATATTTGTATGGCAGCTATGTGATATAGTGGTCCGATTTAAATAATATGTCCAGAGATTATGGTACCGCATAAGAAAATAAGCCGTGCCAAATTTCGTGGAGATTGCCTTTAAGATAAAAAAGAGTTTTTCATATAAGGAGTTGATTTAAGTAAGCTTCTTGGGAAAAGAAGGATGTTTGCAAAATTTCAGATCGATATCTCAAAAGGAGACGAAGTAGTACGCYTATATAAAAGCAGACGAACAAGGAACTTATGATATATACGTATATACTTTATATGTTCACCGACGATTYCTGTTGGATGTTGTAAAGTTCTTGACCAGCTTTATATAAACTTGTTGAGAGTATAAACATTATTTTAAACTGTACTTTTCCATTCGGAAGCAATTTCCGTTTGGAACCGCAAGGTGTGCTCAAGTATTACCCAAAAGTACATATGTAGAAGAAGCTACCAATTGGTCAGAAAAGCTTAATTTCAAGTATGACCCTTCTTTAAACGATAGCGTCGGCTACGATTCGCATTTCAATTGCTTCACATGGAAAATTAAAAGACAGTTTTCTGTGTAAATAACTTGGTTTCTCGAAAGGCTTAACTTAACTACTACTATTAATTCGGAGTTTGTCTTCAACTTCAAGCTTTAAGCACGACGCTTTAACTCGTTTCGATGTTTTTGTAGTAAGTGCCTTTTTTCGTATGAACACATTAAATATTTAAAATAATAATTTATAGTGCTCTAGTTTTCAACAATAACTAAGGATATGCCTATATATATTTACACAACACGCACGAGTATATGCAAAAATGTTGCACTCAAAACGCACACACCTCACTGGCGCACGCACACAGGCGGTGCATGCAATATACTCAACGAACTTTTATATAAAATGGAGTCAAGTGCTATCAAGGAGACAACGCACTAACGGCAAACACTTTCTCAAGTGCGCTTCACAAAAAACGCTTATTGCAAGGCAAGTGGAGTATATATGTTTAAGATTATACACATATATATACATACATATTGTATATAAATATATCAATGCAGGCACTTGAAAGTAGAGTTGCTGGCAAGCCGAAAGCGTGTATTGAACGCAATACTTCAAACAGTGAAGCAACGACAGTATCACAAAAGAAAAACCCTTGATAATATCCTTCACAGGTGCATTTTTTATAGGAAAAAAGTGATTATAAAGTCCCTTATCTTGATTTTGATCGATCGGTTTGTATGGCAACTATACGCTATAGTGATCCGATCTGAAAATTTTTTTTCGGAAATCGTAGCATTGCTTTGGATAATTATCTGTAACAAATTTCGTGAAGACATTTTCTCAAATAAGAAAGTTTTTAATACAAGGACTTGAGTATTACCGGTCAGTTTGTATAACAGCTATATGCTATAGTGATCCGATCTGAACATTTTCTTTGCAAATCTTAGTGATGCCTTGGATAATTATATATGCCAAATTTCGTTAAGATATTCTGTCAAATATAAACGTTTTCCATATAARGACTTTAGTTATTTCCGTCAGTTTGTATTGCAACTCTATGCTGTAGTGGTTCGATCTAAACAATTTCTTCGGAAATCATACCGATGATATCGGCTATTGTCCACACCAAATTTCATTAAGAYATTTTGTTAAATATAAAAGTTTTCCATATAAGGACTTTAGTTATTTCCGTCAGTTTGTATGGCAGCTATAGTCCGATCTGTATAATTTCTTCGAAAATCGTAGCAAGATATTGCTTGGTGGTATTGGTAATTACCTATAATAAATTTGATGAAGATATTTTGTCAAACAAAAAAGATTTCWATATAAAAACTTGATTTTGATTCTTCAGTTTATGTGACAGTAATAGACTATAGTGATCCGATATCGGTGGCTTCGTCAAATGAGCAGTTTTTTAAGGAAATAAGGACGTATGCAAAGTTTCTGATCGATATCTCAAAAGCTCAGTGACGAATCCGTCCATATACAGATAGTATGGTAAAAAGGGTATACAAACTATTTTATATCAAATTCTACATACTGTTTCGAATACAAATCAAATTCGTTGTACCAAATATGTGTATTTTGCTCAAAAGCTACACAAGCATTGGAAAACTGCTTCTCGATCTGATGCAAATCAAGTTATTAAAAATGCTGGCATTGGTTTTACACACACACGCAACCATAAAAAATGTAAATAAATCACAAACAACTGCAAACAAACACTATGACTAGCCGCAAGTATGCCGCACACRCATAAATTTCATAGTTACTCTTGTTATTTTTGGCATTCGAGAAAATTTTCCGCAAAAACAAAAATGACATTCCCCAGTGACATGCAAAAGCTTAATAAAAAAAAAAAAAACACAGAACAAAAAAATGTGCATACAAAAATATACGAATGCATTGCAACGCTATAAATCAGAAGTAAACTAAATAGAAAGAAGAACATTTTGACGTCTACTAATGGGCGCCGTGGCCAATAGACCCACAGCTATGCGCACCTGTGAGCGCCATGCATAAATGCAGCTGCCAAACGAAGCATGCAACGCGAAACGTGCAACACAATAGCTACAAATACAACTACAACGAAAACTGCAACTGCAGCTGCAATTTCAACTTCAACTTCCAGCATGCCCTCAACAGCATGCCAATCATGCGCCTTTGTATGTGTATGTGCGTTGGTGTTTTCGCTTTGCTTTTTTGTTTTTTTTTTTTTTTTGCTTGTGTACATTACCATCAGCATTGTGTTGGGTATAACGGACAAATCCATCGCTGGTATTGATGTTAACAAACCACTCGGATACTTTTTCATGCGGCTGGGGAAAAAAGTTGATTCAACGCCCTGTAGTTTGCGTATGCGCGGCACAGTGAAGCAAATGCGCCAATAAAAAATCAAAAAATTAAAAAAATAAAGCAAAAAATAAATAAATAAAGCAAAAATCAGCAAACATAAATTMTAGTAAAAAAGCGCAAGCATTGGGAACCGCAGAAATAACAAAAGCGTGTGAGAGCAGCGCATAAAGAACAATAACAGAAATATTAAAACAATCACTTATAAAGTGTGCTCTACCTTTTGGAGTGCATTGGGTGTAGTTGGCGTGAAGCAATCAATTTAAACATCGTAACCGTTTTATATTGACTGAATGGACACACACAATAATCTTTGGAATCCTTAATAAGTGAACTTCTGTGAGACTGAACTTTCCACAGAAAATTTTGTTGCCYCGATTTCGCTCAAATCTTATGAATATATGGTATCTTTCAAAATTAATAGTTTTTCTCTTTTTTTTCTTCTTCGTTTCAAACTAACAAATACTCATATATTAGAAGAGTAATTAATAATTCGCGATCGTCTTTGTTTTAGTACGCATTTCATTGTACGACTCTCGACGAATGTTCCCMATCAAGGTTTTTGAAATTTTAATTTTTTTCGAAGATCCGAATTTACACTCTCATAAGCTTGACCACAACATATTGTATTCTATTCTTTCTTATTATTATTATTATTATTTTTTTTTTTTTTTGAACTTTCATACTATATTTAAACTAGCTAATTTCTCTTTTTTTTTTTTGGAAGTCTAAGAGGTTAACTGGAACATTTGACTTGCAAATTCGAAATCAGGAATTCGAAATTAAGAATTTCAGTTTTAGCGATTAACTTCGAAAAAACGGCGAAATCGCCTTTTAAGTTATCAAAAGTCGAAATATTTTACTTCGACATTTTCAATTTCCAAATTCTTAATTTCGAATTTCGAAATTTTAAAGGTTAACTTCGAAAAAATGGAGAAATTTCTTGTTAACTTATGACCCAGTTTTCCAAAAAAATTAGCYTAAAACAAAACTCTGCAAAAAAGTCGACTTCGTTTTATACTAAGATTGCCTTTTATATTTCGGGTTAAGAAAAAAAACACATATTAAAAATGGCTTTATCATTTCTAAAAATATTTTTYTGATATCCATACACTTTTGTAGTGTTTGAACCAATTGTCGAAGCAGTTTTGACAATCGGCTTAAAGCATCTTSAAAWCATGCCTTTTGAACGCATCAACCCACCTGTAGGTGTAAAAAAAAAACGCTGACCTCTTTGTTTATTTTTTACGAACGGGCATTAACGGGAGCATTCGATGGAACGATGAGCTGTACGAGATATATGACGACATTGAAATAGTTCAGCAAATTAAAAGACAGCGGCTACGCTGGCTAGGTCATGTTGTCCGAATGGACGAAAACACTCCAGCTCTGAAAGTATTCGACGCTGTACATGCCGGGGAAGCGGAGGAAGAGGAAGACCTCCTCCACTCCGTTGGAAGGACCAGATGGGGAAGGACTTGGCTATGCTTGGAGAAACAACTTCCGCGCTGTTGTTAACTCGGCTATAATTAAGAAGAAGGGCATTAAAATATCGGTCGGCGTCAATTAGGAAMTATACAGTGGATTAATCATCTATTTTTTGACCGAGTTGAATATTTTAAGTTACTGTAARCAACACAAATTGTATTCATAYGCCAAAACATTCTAAGTAACTATAATGTACAAAATATCAAGCTTAACGATAGAATTGTGAGTTGACAGCTTGCAAATACTCGGGCTGCCAAATCTCGAAATACAAAAAGATATCAACGTACAGCTCAGCAGTAAATTGGATAATGGCCGCATTTTTATTTTCCATATTACCCAATCTCTCAAAAAAATCAATTCGCTCAATATCCTGAAACCAGATCAAACCCACACTACTACTATAGTCCACGTTTCATTACATTTTGAATGAGAATTCTACGTTATATGATATATACAAATATAATCACAAATATTTTGTATTACTAATCCGCGGTATTTGCTGAGTGAACCTCAGCCTATTCCTACAGACCACATCTATATAAATTGTGTGAATTTAGTGGGTGTTAAAAACTTTCATACAAAATTTTWACGCTTCATAAATGCGCTAATTGAAAAAGTTCAGCCCCACGATTCATAGTATGWTTTCAGTATTGAGTTTATAACTTTTACTCCGTTAAAGTAACGATAATTTATATTTATAATTTTATTTATTTTGTTTTTTGGTAAATAACAGCGGCAGATTGGAGAGCAGAAATATTTCGCTAAACATGAATTTCATGCTCTGCCAATATGAATAAAGAATATCGACTATATCATACAGAATACAGAATATATAATAGAATATAAAAAACAGAATAGCGAATATATAATGCAGATTATACAATTTTGATTAAAGAAAATATAATAGAATGTAGTATAATAAATARTATAATAATAGATTAAAGAATATATAATATTTCATATTTAATAGTGAAATAGGGAAAAGGCACAGAGCGATCTCTGGCAGAGGCCAGGTAATCGGTACAGTCCTATTTTCGAAACACCCCTCGTATAGTCTAAAAATATGATATATATATATGTATTTAAGAAAATAAGAAAAAAAGTTTATAAATAACTGTGAGAAAAGAGAAGATCTTACGACAAGAGGGTRCGTGTTAAAGAACGGAGTATATTTTCAAAAGGACCCTGAAAAAGTGTTCTCATGTTATTTCGCATACTTTTTGAAGATGGTAAAACACTAAAGAAATGTGGAACCACTTAAAAGTATCCTGTATTATTCAAACGAAGGAAAATCTATGGCCTACATTTCTATTTATTGACTATATATTATATTTCACATAAAATTGAAGCCTCCAAAAACCTTTAAAAATTAAACTTTGCCCAAAGCTATTTGAAACAAACAAAAGTTAAAATCATWTTCCGGAAATTTGGCAAAATAGAAATTTGCATAACCAAGCAAAAAATGTACAATAAGTACGAGTATTCCATACAGACACAGCCACAAACGCCAAGCCGTCGTTCGATTGCCATTTCCATTTCGGCAAATATTGTTGTTGCAATTCGTTTTTGATGCTCATACAATTTTTGCCTCGCACGTTCGTCGCCAAAGCGTTACAAAACCGTATCATTGAAAGCAAGGGTCAGAAACGAGAAAAAATACAAATACACACCGATAGCAAAGCGAGAAAAAGCGGAAAATTGGGCAAAACAATTGCGGCGATATCACAACAGCAGCAACAGCAGCTGCCACAGCCGCCAAACAGCAATGTTGGCAATGTAGCTGAGGCTATAATGCCAGCGATAAGTTGAAACAASGAAAAATGAGTCGAATTGTAGTCGCTATCACAGCAGCATAGGCGCAAGAGCACGTAAGCCAACAATGCGATGCTTACAATTGCTTTATAACGGAAAATAGCCGAAAGCCGTAGCAATGGAAATGGCAAACAAAATATACACAATAGCAACAATGAACATAAAAATCCACTACAAACCTACACAATTGACGGCAATCAACGCGTAGGTGGGGTCTATATGCTGCGAAAATCAGAGGCCTACCTGAACGATGAACCAATGAACCAGCGTGGCACCAACGCACCCACGAAAGTGCTTAGCCTATGCGTTGTAACGGATTTTAAGCACGCACTCCAATACACGACAGCAGAAATGCACGCAAACAGGCACTTTCCGCTTTTTACACTTTGCGTTCTGCTTTCCGGCGACACGCACCAGTCAGCCAACAGTCATGCTCAGCCAACTAAGCGGCAGCTTACGCACACTCTCAGTCGCTTCATGCTGGCGCCATTAGCAATTTTGYGCGTGCATTCCCCAAACGCCCATCCACCGTGCTTGTGAAGCACGCACCCGCACCCGACTTACCTCGAGCACAACACCCTCCAGCGTTGGCTGTGAGATGTTCTTCATATTGCTGTGATTCAATTTGGGCGCGCTGTCGGCACGATTTCGGCCTAATGATTGATTTGATGTTTTGTTATCGGCTTTGCTCAGCACCGAATTATTGGAGGATTTGTGATTTATATCCAGTGTTGAGCGCAAAATGTCAACCTTCGAGGCGCTGCCGATRTGACTGCCGTGCCGGGGTACACGTGTTGACTCCACATTATAGCTRCTGCGGCGATGTGACAAATGGTCGTGTATATCCGCCTACACAGGTGCAATCAAGAATTATATATTACGGTACGGCAGCAGCCCGAGGATGTCCCGTTGCGTAAATGGTATGAAAAGTTTATGAACGTAGATAACGAGAAGAAAAGCAAGAATATAATGAAATAAATTAGAATTAAATTTTCGTGATTAAGCAAAGTGCCAACGAACTTCAGCACAAAAGAAGTGTGGTAGGGATTAAAAGGTGGTAATACAGTTATGTTAAGAAATAAATGATTCAATTAGAAGTTTTTTAATTTATTAAATTTTGTGATTTTTGAGGTTAGATATACTTTAACTTACCCTTGAGCCACGTGGCAGTGAAGTCAAACTGCCTATCTGATTGTATTTGATCATCAAGCTGAGACGTTCCAGTGACATAGATGTGCCTTGTTCTTTAGTGGCCGGTTCCGTGAGTTTCTCCGTTTCACCATTCTCCATTGCCTCTGCTTCTTCTTCACAGTCGTCGAGGTTATGATCGAACTTCCGTAACCAAGCCAGATGCAGTAAGCCGTAAGCGATACCGCCTACAACAGCCAATAGACCCATATAACGGAAGGCATCTCTTGTACCAAACTGACCGATTAGTAGACCACCGGTAAAGGAACCACTACCGCGACCTAAACACATTTAAAGAAATTATTATAGTAGGATAGTTTTCCTAGACAAAAAGAGTAGCTTATATTTATCGCGCTAACTGGATGACATTTAGGTATTCCCCTGAGAACTTTTCGTTAAAGAAGTTGGATAATTTTTGCTTATTCCAGCAGGTTTAAACTCCGAATTAATCGGTTTATTTGCATTCTTTGAGAACCTAGCCGATCAGCTGATTACTTTTTATATAGAAGAAGGAGAAGTCTTATTAACCTCTTGAATGCGCTCGTGTAACCAAGTCTTGAGCTACTTTCCGTTGATCTCTGAAGGTTTGAACATATTGTTTGYCCACAAAGACGTCCGCTCGCGTTAACGCTTCGTAAATTGTTGTTTGTTTTCTTCTTACTGTCCCCCTTCTTTTTATTCATCGTCTTTTTCTTCTTCTTCTTCGAATAAGACATCCTACAATCATAACTGAACTCGGAACGCCCGCTCGGATTTAGGCTTTGTACATTGCCATATGTTCCACTCTTTTTCTCTATCTTTTTTCTCTTCTGATTCTTCGTCTACTAATTCTTCTTTTCTGCTCCTTCTCATTCTTCTATTAAGTCAACTGACATTTTCATTATTTCTAGAGTAAGCGGATCTAACGTACCCTTGTCCAATAAAAGTTAYAATTTCTTATAAAATAGGTATGAATACGAAAGAGTTCTATGAAACCTCATTTATCTTAGACTTAGGACCTTAGTCCGATAACAGTTGTAATGYCTTAGAAAATATTTGTGAGTATTTGAAACCTCTTTTAGCACCAGCTCGATGAGATCAGTTTTTATTTGGACAAATTTGTATATGCAATATTCAGAAGACGAGCAGCTCTTCTCTTCCAGGGATTCGCAGAGGTTTACGATCCGTATCTCATTATGAATCCTTCGAATCTAATATTTCTCGTGACAACTTCTTTACAATACTCCCCTCAATACTTACCCAAGCTGAAATGTGCCATGCCCAGCACACCAATCAATGTGGCCAACAAGCTTTTYGGTGCCAAAATTGAGCAATAAGTGGCCGCTGCCACCCACATCAAATGGCAAGACAGAGCCTCCATCGCTTCGAAGGGAAAACACCACCAAGCATTTCTGCAGAAAGAAAAGAAAACGAAACCAAAAAGAATTAAAAGAGCAGCGAAACAAATCAAGAACGCCAACTCCACTTACTCAATGAACGAATAGCCCACGAGGCGGCCGGCATGCGAGAAGAAWGCAATGATAATCAAATTAACGTGTCCAAAGATACGGGTGATACGTTCGGCGCCATACAAGAAGGGAATACTGCTCACCGTGCCAACAGTGATGGTTATGCCTATAAATAGCCCAAGTAAGCAAATTTACCAACGTAACTACATATTGCCAAATACAAAGATTCACAGGGGGAAATATTAAATGAATACGGTGTGGAATAGCAAGTGGAACAACATAATTTGATTGAAATCGTAATTCGATTCGATTCGATGTCACTCACGCTCCGACAGTACAAGTGAACAACCGAACTAAATGTCAGCGTTCAATTACAAATGGCATGACAGCTACACTAATTGCTTTACTTACCGAGTAAATAATTGGGTGCGCCCAACTCCTTCAGGTARAGAAAAAGAAAACTCTCGATGAAACCCCAGAAATTGCCCAAAATGAAGAGGAAGAAGATGAACGTAATAACATGTGGCATCTTCAGTAAATTCCACAAATCCCGGAAAACATTATCTGCCGGCAATTTATCGCCCAACGGCATCATAAGCACCGAAACTGTTGAAATCACCAACAACAAATCATAGGTATAAAAGGCAGCCGAGTAGTCGGTGTAGCCGAGACCACGCGAAAAATAATCAATCATTATGCCAGTAATTGGCGAAAAGATGGCCATGCCAATGCTGGAAAAGAGACGCTCACGTCCAAAGTCACCGCCGTACTTCTCAATCATAGTCAGCGCAATGGGATCCATTATGGTGACACCGGCAGACAGCATCGTAGTGGCAAGAAATCTATTAAACGAAAACATAATCATAAACATATTAACGTATATTACAGTAAAGATATCTACAGAGTTCGTCTTGGTGTGCATACAGTTCAAAGGTGTCAGTTACTTTTGCTCAAGATACCAACAATCAATGCGGTATTCATTTAAATCATCAATTAATTAAAAATCAGTTATTATATATGCAATGCGTATAAAGCCAAAAAGATTGTAAACAGGAAGCAACCATTTAAAGTAGTATGGAATAGATATGAACCGGAAATAGTAATAAAAACCGAACTATTATTTTTCGTGTGCCTTTTTCAAATATTTCCCTATAAGTCCCTCATTATTCACCTCCTATTCTAAGGCGCAGAAACATGAACGATGACGCAGCGAGATGAGAAAGCTCTTGGAGTATTCGTGAGAACTGTTCGCAAGATCTTTGGACCGTTGAATACCGAATAAGATGGAACCATAAACTCTATGAGCTCTATGACGACATGTATTTGTTTATGCTCATAAAAATTCAAGAAATGCGCTGGTTAGGCCATATCGTTCGCATGAAAAATGAAGCTCAAGCGAAACTGCGAACAAGAGCACCCACGCATGTAATGGGAGTATCAAGTGTATAGTGACCCTTCGACATTTAGAAGGTACAAGGAGCATGCCCTCGCAAAAGATATATGCAACTGGCGAATTTTTGTGTCTCGTCCCAGACTGAACCACTATTGTAGGTCMTAAAAAGAAAATGTCTGACCGTAGGTCCGTCTAACTACTTCCTCAGTTTTGAAAAAATGAACTGAAATTTTGCATATGACCTTTTCACACAAAGAAGCTGCTCATTTGCCGGCACGGGCATAYCGATACCGAACAAGTTGAAGTTATTGTATGGATTTGACAAGGTATGTTCCAGAAATTTAGCATAAATTATTATCCAGTTCTATAATCTTGGAARAAATTTTTCAGATCGGAATATAGCTGCAAAATAAACTGACCGATCAAAATCAATATAAAGATATTTTTATATCTGTTATGCTATGGAAAGTGAACCAGGGAAGAGTTTTAAAACAGCCGAAGTTACCTTTTTTATCTTTGTTTCTAAACTTTGATATTTTTTATGAAGATAACGTTATAATAAGCTCTACACAATAATTGAATACTCACTCTCCCGTCAATATCCAACCAGCATTCAGACACACTCACCTCAATAAGAAGTAAATCCAAAATACGCGATCATCTGATTCTTTGTAATCGGGTGGACAAATCTCCGGTGCATTCATTGTGAACACACAGCGTTGCACCATACAGCTGACAGTGCCATTTGTCAGTTGTGACATGTTTGAGCGACGCACCAGACCGCCACAACGTAGATCCAATTCATCCAAATCGGTGACATTGATTTGCATATCCCACAGACGTTTCTCGCCGAAGCGCTGCTTGAAATCGGTCACCGTCTCATTGTCGTCCGGTTCGATTTCCATGCCCAATTGCTCAATGGGGTCAGCCAAATCAGGATGCATTTGCAGCATAAAATAGGCAGCGTCCGTGCCATCCGAATGCACCCAGCTGTTGAGGTTGTAAGTGCTGTCGTTGCCCACTTCGCCTGCCTCCACTAATTATTATTATTATTTTTGTTGTTGTTATTGTTGCAAAGTTGTTTTGAGTGCCAGCAATAAAAGATCATGTGAATAAAAGAAAATAAATAATGCAATGCTTTGCTAAAAAAGACACACAACTGTGTCTATAAAAGAAGCGAGCGAAATGTGTTCACGAAATAAACTTGTTAAAAGGCACACAAATCCGCACAACGTGTACACAACGCAATGACGTGTGCGCTTTGACTCGGCAAACAACCAAGCGCACACACATACACATGCACACATTCATATGTTCCACTGGTTAATGTGTATGTGTACAGTCTGTCCGTAAAGTCATGCATACAAATAATAATACATTGAAATGTTTGACTTTTGTGTGCGGAATGTTAGGGCGAGAGTAAGAATGACAGCCACACAAAAGAGAATGACAAATGCACAAACACTATATAGTCCATCACATTCACGAGCTAGAAATTCTGCATGGCAGCAACGGCCATGCATTTCAACAATAACAATTAGATGAGAATCTGACAATAGTTGGATATGAMAGCAGTGGGTCTCAGCTTTTGGTGCGGTGGGTGTGAGTGTGTATAATTTTGCGCTTGATGCAGGGTTGGTTCGAAAATTAAGCGGAAAGTTAAAAAAAAAATTAGTAGTGAGAACTTGAGGTGGTATTCTAATCTACAAATTTTAAAAGTTGCAACCAATTTAGTGCCGTGAGAACTCAACTTTAACCTCGAAGAAACTTTTTTCAATGCGCTTGTAAAAAAGTCTGAAGTTCTATATAACCGATTGACTTCAAAATCAGATAGCTAGAAGAATAAAAAATCGTCCCCCAGTTTCCAAATTATTTTTTTCCTTCCAAGCTTTTTTGTAAATTTCAACTCATTACATTATATATGAGTTACAATCCCATTCAGATACCGTCTGGAAAATTTTAACCTCAGAGAGCAAATAAGAAAACAGATAGAAAGAAAATGAGCGCAGAATTTTTGATATAACATATAATTTTTTTTTCATCAGTCCGGGTCAAATTTGATCAAATGGAGCCGTGTCAAAAATGAAGAAAATCTCTTAATATAAATTCTAGAAGCTTTTATGTTCAGAAAAAAAGCGAAAAAAATTGTACGGTGACCTTCAATCAGAGGATATTTTTAGTTGCCTTCCTCTTCAGAACACTCTTATTTTCTTTGAAAACGAAAGCACAGAATTTTTGAATTTTTTCTGTCTATTTCTTATAAGCTAGGTAATATTGAAAAAAAAAAACACTTAGCTCCTAATAAACCACAATAATATTTTTGAACAGTCCGGGTCAAATTTGATCAGAGGGAACAGTGTCAATAAAGAAAAAACTCTCCCCATATAAAATGTAGAAGGTTTTTTCTTGCGAAAAAAGCAAAAAATCAAAATTTTCAATCAGAGTTTCTTTTTAGATTCGAACCTCTACAGAACGCTATTTATTTTCTTTGATAAATGGAATGAGTATTTTTGTGATTTTCTGTSTATTTGCAATAAGCTAGGCACACTTCGTAAGAAACTTCGCACCAGTTTGGGACAAATTTGATCAAAGTGGTATACAATGGTAATGAAACGGTTTTCTAAACTACATATATTCAAAACAGTTTTGTGTTTCAGTTTGTTTTTAAAATTTGTAAGGCTTCCTTCTGAGTAGTCCGGTACAAATTTGATCACGATGGTATTTAGTTGCAATGAAAATTTCTAGCAACTTTAACATTTGTTTATAAGTTATATTCGAACTAGTTGCGTGTTTCACGATATTTTTAAAAATTCTAAAATTTTCTCRAAGCCTTTTGGGTAGTCCGGKTCAAATTTGATCATGATTATATTCAGTTGCAATGAAAATTTCAAATGGTTATAAAAACTTTGTTATGAATTATATTATATATAAAAAATTCTAAATTTTCTCGAAGCGTTTTGGTCAGTCCGGGTYAATTTTCATCATGATGGTATACAGAGGCAATGAAATTTGTAAAAAATATGTTTAAATTATATTCAAATTGTTTACGTATTTCAGGATATTTTTAAAAATTTTAAGATTTTCTTGAAGCCTTTTGGGTAGAGCGTGTCAAATATGAAAAGTTTAAAAAAAAAAATTTCATAAACTATATTCGAATTAAGTGCATGTTTTATTATACTTTTAAAATTCTATGATTTTCTCAAATTTCTCCATCGTGTTAGTTGAACCGTCACCATATTTTAACCAGTTTGTTATTTTCACGCCTGGCTTATATTTCAGTTCTGTTATATTTATGCATTCATACTKTGTCACTTTCAAAACACAAGTACGCACCGGCACATACACGCATCCATACATTTGCACACTGAAGCTCACACATTAGACACTTCACACTTTAGAAATGCACTAGACTACATCAATTGTCCATTTTACAAGCGTTTATGCATTCATTTATTCATTTCACACTCCCAAATACAAATAAGACGACATCAAGGCAGATAASTTCACGCACACAACGCTCTACACACACWCATACAYGCACAGAACACCAATMTYCCAGCAGTCGTTGAAGGAGTGAGCGCTCGTGGTGAAGAGCAAAGTACACATGTATTTTGCACACATTAAATGCCTCGCACAAAACCAACCTATACATTTGCACTCACGTATGTATATATGCATGTATGTGTGTGCATATAGATGGCAAATAGTTAAACAAACAGTCATACTGGKATGCAGACAGGCGGACAGGCGGACAAAGAGAAAGGCCAGCGGGTCATAAGTAAACTTGGCAGTCATGGTAACACAAGCGCAAACACAAACACCTACACATACACACRAACTGCAACTGTCACTTACAATTCCATCCCTGCTCCAGCTCTGACAAGGCCGAAGAAGACGTCACCACCGGCGGGAACATTGTCGATGACATATTAAGTACATCTTGGAAACGGGCCACTGAGCTGGGTGTCGTGAATGCAGCGGCCGCCGCTGCTGCTGTCTCGGCGCGAGCGGCTGCTGCTGCTGCCGCCGCCGTCTCCGTCGTTGTAGTGGTCGTACTGCGCGCTGTAGTCGTCGTCGTCATTGCCGACAGTGTTGGTGTTGGCACAGGTGGAGATGGAGACGTTGTACTGCCAGATGGATCCAGTATTGCGATGGCGGTTTGTGTTGGTGACTCAGCGGCGGCTGCAGCGACTATTGTTGCTGTCGTTCCGATTGTACCCATTGTCGTGGTTGAGCTCATAGTTGTAATTGTAGTTGTTGCTGTTGTGGGCGCACGTTGCGTTGTCGAATAATAATCGGGCGATGGACCATATAACGAGGGTTTAGGCGACGGTTGCGTTTGCTGTTGTTGTTGTTGCTGCTCTTGCAGCAGACAATAGTCCACACATTGACTCACAGCCAAATCAAGCTCCGGCTCCTCGGGGCATTCGCGACTAGGACAGGGTGACCACCAGACCTAGGAAGGAGAGAGAGCAGAACGTATCAATGCGTTATAAATGTACACTTATATGTCTCTAGTTGTACATATATGTATATAGTTATATGTGTATATAGTGAGGAGTTAGGAAAGCAATAGCAGTTTAAAAAATCTGTGTTCGACGGCAATGTAAGTATTTTTGGCTCGTTGCGCAAAACAAAAAAAAAATAAAATAAAAATAACGAGCAAAAGTATTGAATGACAAGTGGTGAATGGTAAGAAAGGAAACTAGAGAAAAGTTATAAACACACACAAGCACAAACACTGGAGTATAAACAACCAGTTATTAAATTGGTGCAGTCACCTACTTTGGGGCATGCCACATCACTTCACAAGTCGTGTGCGTTCACATTCGCAGACAATTGCGAAAACAGCTGTAATGGGAAAATGCAAGACAGAAGAGTGAACATTTAAGATTTAAATAATAATGTAATTTTTGTATATAGATTTTGGAGGCATAACGCTCGCAATCAATAAAAAAACTCCTCTCTTTTCGTTACTTACTATATATTCTACTAATATTTCTTGTTAAATGAAATATCTTCCTATAAAACGCACTTTATTGCGATCCTTAATGAGAAAATAACGTGTGTGAATATCGTGATCTCAAAAACTGAGGGACTATTTCGCGTTTTTATAGACAAATCGCCGCCCACCTATCAGAATAGGCAATTCTCTCCGAACCCATAAATCTACCACTACCTTAATGACTGCAAATCACACGAATCCTACTTTTGATCTGTCTGTGTAAAGAAGCTCTCCGCACTTCTTTTCACAAAAAACAAAAACCCACAGAAAGTGCTTCCACCTCACCTTTTTCCATATAGCTTTTGTAACTGGTCTTAGATAAGATTCTTAGAACCCCCACAACTAAGGGGAGACTAATATTACTGAAGGAAAAAGGCTCACTGTATCCCTTAGGATGGATCTTAGGCCAAAAGGCCAAAGCTCCGGCAAAGCTCAGGTTTTCAGTACTAGAACACAGGAAGAGACGAGAGTACCCACCTCTTCGCATTCTACTGATAGCGGGGTTAGGCCACCTTTCCTGGCTAGCACATCAGTTTTACAGTTTCCTTCAATTTCGATTGGCACCCATACAAGTCTTATTACAAAGTGACGTGATGCCATTGATAGCGAGGTTAGRCATTACTTAAGAAACCCGGAACGCATTCTTAGTGAGATCAAAGCTAACACCGTCGCCCGAGTGGGAGTCACTTCTTTGAGGAAGGCTGCACTTTGGAACAGTAAATCTACCCCTTTCTTTAACAGCTTATCGGCTTGAAAGCCACTACACTAACCAGGAAGTCCACCAAACTTTCCTTCACCATACAAGAAAGTAAATTSCGATTGCTTCGTCTCTTTGTTTCTTGATAGTGAAACATTTTTCGACAAGATAATGTAKTAGTTGAACTTTTTAGTCGCATACTAACCAGTTAAAACAGGATCAGATTGCCGAATTGCTTGGCCGAATACTATACTCATACGAGTCGGTCAATTTCGATAGTGTAGAACCCTACATCGTGGAAACTGATTAAGTAACAGCGATTTGCCGTGAATTTTTATTTTACTTCATCTTCAAATTTAGCAGAATTTTTCGTTCTGTCATATGTAGATGAGATCAGCTTATGTTTAGTTGTTGTTATTTTATTTTGATAGTTTTGTGCATACATTACAATTCTTGTACATTAGATAACGTTATCCTACCTTGGGCGGTTAATCTAGATTATCATTGCCCTTTAAATCTGGTGTTAGTAGCCCACCTATAATAGAAAAGCTTTCTCATTGTTCTATCAATAAACTTGAGAGCATCAAATAGAAAAGCTAGAAAATAGAAAATCTTCACTTTTGCTATTATTGCCATCATTGTTGAGGCATAATTTCTGTCGATAAAGTTTTTTTTGATTAATTGGGTTGGTGTTTATCCTTTGTGGGAACGGAAAAAACATCGGCATCGCAAACCGCGTTGTACAAGTCTGTGTATAGGGCGATACTGGCTTGTCTTCCCATCACACGCTAAATCAATCCAACTTATCTTACTCTACTASAATTCATTCTAAAACAAGTCGATCCATCGAATAAGATACCAGCATATTGTAAACCGTCATACTTGTTGTGATAAATGCAAAACTGACRTATTCTGCGAGCAACAACACTGTAATCACCCAAGAAGTGGATCGTAAAAAATGCAGATAAAAACAACAATGCTGCGCTGCGCAAAATTTACAATAGCATCGTACGAATGCCATAAAACACATATAAATAAGTGCATCCTTTCGAACCCAGCAGGTAAATGCAAAGAGGCTAGAGAAACCCGCAATTTGCAGGCTAACTACACCAAATTAATGCCAACAAATTATAGAAMAATTACTTAAGCAGGCAGCTTTAAGTTTAAAAAAATAATCGGCAGTGGCGCCGGAACAACGTGACAGCTTCGTTTCCCATATGTTTCCACTCAAACGCTAACAGACGCACTCGTCCCGAACCAGTTGCGAACGAGTGCTTTTTTTCTGCAATGTAAAAATATCAGAAACTCAGCCACTGGCAAGTGCTTACATCATAAAATTTGTATTCATATGTTTTCATAGACTCGTATGCACCTCATACTTTCATACTCCTGCTTACCGGCAGTAGTTTACTCCACTGTCGCTACTTGTGTTACAGTTTTTATTGCTAATGTTGCTATTTATGTCTTGGCAAGATTTTATAATGCGGCCAGCTTTGCGCAGTGTTGTGGCTTTTCGAGTGGAATGCCAACAATTCGGTAGTATTTTTACAAGCCACTCGACATTTTAGCCTTTTCCAGGTCGCAACGCATAATCCTTTCTTATAAGCACACACACACACACATGCATACAAGTATAAGAGTTTATGTGGGATTTTTATGAGAGCGGAGATATTTTTATGCACATTGTAAGATATTACATAAGTTGTTGTTGTTGTTGTAAGCGTAAGCATAGCATATCACTGCATATAATTTGCATAGAAATGGAGCTTCTGTAAAATGCTGCAATATTGAAACCAATCTGGACATGTGTGAAGATAAGCCCCTGTGAAAAGATGGAGAAAATGGAAATTGTTTCTAGAAGAAATTTGTTAAATAGGGTATTTTAGGTTTGATGYCAGATTTTTGGGGAAATTGATAAAGAAAGCAATTACTATTTTTTATTCATAGTTCGAGAATTCTCTTCATCAGGATTTCTATTACTGTGAACTTTTGAAAGAAAAMACAATAATATCTTCTTGATTACAACAAAAGTCATAAACGTATGAGCCAACAAAATAGAAAAAAGTTTCATATAATGGTGGTTTCYTCTTTATTGGCGTAGACACCGCTTACGCGATTATAGCCGGGTTTACTACAGCGCGCCAGTCTTACTTCCTTTTTGCTATATGGAGTGAATTGRAGATTCCAAGTGAAGCTAGATCTGTCTCCACCTGGTCGTTCCARCAGAGTTGATGTCTTCCTCTCTCTCTGCTTCCTCCGGGTACTTCGTCGAATGCTCTCAGAGCTGGAGTGTTTTCATCCATTCGCCGGTATTCGCCGTTGCCAATGCGCAAAGGATAATAAATCTTCCGCCTCTCTCTCGAAAACTCGTAACGCTGACTCATCAGACGTTGTTACCGTCCACTCCTGTAACCATACAACCAGACGGCGATGATAAATGGCTTGTAGAATTTGTTCTTTGTTATGACTGTCAATAGTGACGTGCAACCCAAGTCGTGAATACGACGGCTGTTTGTTTGATGACAGAAGGTTTTTCATCTTACCCTTGCTCACCACAAACCCATTTGCTTCGCTGCATTATCCATTCTGGTGGAAGCAAGACTAACGGTTATTGAAGCCAATGATATCAATATCAACGGCCAGCAGCTGTACACTCTTTTAAAAGATGGTGCCTTCTCTATTTAGCTCTGCAGCTCGAATTATTTTCTCCCGGAGAAGATTGAAGAAATCGCAATATAAGGAGTAGCCTTGTCTGAAACCTCGTTWGGTATCGAACGGCGCGGAGATKTCCTTCCCGATCCTAATGGATCTTTTAGTGTTGCACAACGYCAGTTTATACAGCCGTATTAGTTTTGCGGGAATGCCAAATACAGACAATCGGCGAGCAGATGGTACGTGTCGACYCTCTTTTCACGAGACATTTYCAAGATTTGGCGCATGTTGTTGATTTTCCTGGCCTAAAGCCACACTGGTAAGCTCCAATCAGTTTGTTGACGGTGGGTGTGAAAGACTTAATCACACAATATGCTCGATAGAACCTTATATGTGATGTTGYGGAGGCTTATCGCACGGTAGTTGGCGCAGATTATGGGGTCTTCCTTTTTGTGGATTGGACATAGCACACTTAAATTCCAAATCGAGCATGTTTTCGTCCGACCTTATCAATTCTTCGCCGTCGTATTTGTATAGCTCGATTGTCAAGCGATCGGCACCCGCCGCTTTGTTGTCATTCAGACGGGTTATTGCTATTCGAACTTCTTCTTAGTCGGACAATGGAACGTCTGCTCCATCGTTATCGACTGGGGAAGCGAATTCGGCTTCTCCTGTCGTTATGCTTTCACTGCCATCCAGTATTCCCCAGTATTCCCTCCATAATTTCAATACGCTCTAGCCATGAGTCACTACGTCCCCTCTGAGGTGCTACGAGACCATACTCCGGTCTTGAAACATTCTGCTAGTCTCCGCATCTTTTCGTAGAATTTTCGTACATTACCCCTCTTGGCCAACTTGTCAAGCTCTTCATACTCACGCATCTCGGCTACCCTTTTCAATGCTCGGTATCTACCACATATCGCACGTGTTGTGGTCGATTGTAAAATTGCGTGGTCGGCAGTCTGTTTACTCCCGCCTCCTCATCGTACTAGCTGCTCTTTTGCCTTTTCCGAAAACCAATGGTTTCGTTTCTAGCTGTACGTAAGCAGCTTGAATATATATATATATATATATCTATCCGTCGAAAACTATCATGAGGGCC